TGATCTACACCAAACTTGCATATCTACGGATGGTTTACAAGGACAAAGAGGGCGAGCGTGGAATAAGAAAACAACATTCCAATAAGCTGTAATGGAGCTGCGTGGGGGTGATGCCTCTGTTTGGCTGGCCATTATAAAGATTCCTCGGCAAACTGAATTAATAAGACTCTCCCGGCTGATACAATTGCAGAAACAAGCCATGACTCTGTGGTTTGACGTGCTAAATGTGAAGAAATGTCATGCACAGAGACTTTTATGGTCAAGAGACCATTAGCAACATCAAGGACATGTCATTCTTTGAAAACTATATATTAAATAATAGAAAACACTTGATTAAATAAGTGAACTTACGCAACCGTATTACTACATAACTACTTTTCTGTTTTGTTTTTTTGTAACTGAAATCTGTATACCCTTATTAATGGAATGTTCTGCATTTAAAATAAGTTAAGCTCTATTGAAAGCATGGTTTGGATTTGTCATCTAGTTTGTAAAAAACAAGCAAAACTGCATGTACATTAATGCACTTATAATGAATATCTATGATGTAATAAAATGTTTATAAATAAACATTAAAATACATGGTGTTATGGAAGCATAGCTACTTGTCCTTAAACATGATACACTACTGTTCAAATGTCAGTGATTATTATTAATATGTTTATACTATTCCACAAAAATATTAAAGGCAGAGTAAGTGATTTCTGGTAGCCAATGTTGATATTTGAAATCACCAAAACAAACACGCCCCTACCCCAAAAGGGTCTTGCCTCTATTTTGATAGCTCTGCCCCACATATACGTACGCAACCCAGGCAACGATTAGTTCTGTGAAACAAAGCAAAACCAATGTTACACCGTGTCTACGGACGTGAGCGGCACGGCGCAACAAATCCCGACAGAAAATTGCTGCCGGGTTCTATTTATGATGTGCTGACACACATTTCAAATGGTTTTCAACGGTCGTTTGAGTCCAGTGTAGGCAGACTTTAGCTGTTGTAGACACGGTGTTACTCACCTACTGAGAAGAAACATAGCAACCTCGGCGTCCGATCGCAGGCCTCCGCTCCTTGAGTTCTCTCCAGCGCTGGAAAGCTGATCCGATATTTACACGGGTCCTACTTCTTGCCTTATCGTTCCGCAGACGTTTTCCTCTTTTGTTTTTTATCCGCCATCTCTATCTTTCTGTCGCTCGGCTCGGCTAATGTCCGTCCCATGCACTGAACGCGCTCTCCTCCACATCACGAGTAGACACGCCCCTTATTGCTGATTGGCTACAAGTTTGTTTTGCGATTCGGCCCGAATCAGTTTTCTAAAGTGTTTTTGAAAAATCACTTACTCTGCCTTTAAGCAGCACAACAATTTTCAACACTGACAATAAGACATTGAGCACCAAATCTGTATATTAAAATGATTTCTGCAGGATCATGTGACACTAAATACTGAAAATGCAGCTTTGCATCACAGGAATAAATTACATTTTAAAATACATTCCAATAGAAAACAGTTATTTTAAATTGTAATAATATTTCAAAATATTATTGTTCTAGTCTATTTTGAACAGCCATGGTGAGCATAAAATACTTTTCAAAAACATTAAAACATTTTGACACATATCTGTGCCAAGTGACAGACAATTTTTCAACTCCTGTCATGACCATGTAGAGCCGATAAGATGCAACTTTTGCATGAGATGCAGGACTTTTGGTAATGGTATTGGATTTTTGTAAACTGAGGGACAAGTCAAATTATTGTATTACATAACTGACAGCATGCCACAGATGCCATTAAATATTTTTACATTTTTGCATGTTTTGAACCTGGAACCTTCTTTTATACGTGTGAAATTATGTTTAAAATAACACGCAGACAGCACCAAAAACTGCCGACAATGTGCCACCAACTGCATTAAGAGCAGAAAACATACAGGAGGGGAAAATGGCCCATCTTTTTTCTTTGCAGGGCTTTGCTGATGAGGTCTCATGTGATGCATTACACACACACACACTCCTACATGCAGAAATCACACGTGTGATTCATGGGGGAGTTCTGCTTCACGTAAACAGTTGGCGTTCACAGTATACACGCCTTTAATGTGTTTCCTTCACACACAAGAGTTGCTGAAAGTGTAATTTGAAAAATTAATTGGTCATCACTTTGGTGCCACCTCAGGGAACTGGAAGACAGAGGAAGAACGGATAGGAAAACTGTAAAATACGACTCAACACTTGCAAAGTATAAAATTATATATATATATATATATATATATATATATGTGTGTGTGTGTGTGTGTGTGTGT